AGTCGTCTATTTGACAGAGATTTAGACTAAAGAATGAGTCGTCTATTTAACAAAGATTTAGACTGCGAAGAATGAGTCGTCTATTTGACAGAGATTTTAAACTGTGAAGAATGAGTCGTCCATTTGACAGAGATTTAGACTGTGAAGAATGAGTCATCTATTTGACAAAGATTTAGACTGTGAAGAATGAGTCCTCCATTTGACAGAGATTTAGACTGTGAAGAATGAGTCGTCCATTTGACAGAGGTTTAGACTGTGAAGAATGAGTCGTCTATTTGACAGAGATTTAGACTAAAGAATGAGTTGTCTATTTGACAGAGATTTAGACTAAAGAATGAGTCGTCTATTTGACAGAGATTTTGACTGCGAAGAATGAGTCGTCTATTTGACTGAGATTAAGACTGTGAAAAATGAGTCCTCTATTTGACAAGAGATTTAGATTGTGAAGAATGAGTCCTCCATTTGACAGAGATTTAGTCTGAAGAATGAGTCGTCTATTTGACAGAGATTTAGACTGTGAAGAATGAGTCATCCATTTGACAGAGATTTAGACTAAAGAATGAGTTATCTATTTGACAGAGATTTTGACTAAAGAATGAGTCGTCTATTTAACAAAGATTTAGACTAAAGAATGAGTCGTCTATTTAACAAAGATTTAGACTGTGAAGAATGAGTCGGCTATTTGACAGAGATTTAGACTGTGAAGAATGAGTCGTCTATTTGACAGATTTAGACAGCAAAGAATGAGTCGTCTATTTGACAGAGATTTTAAACTGTGAAGAATGAGTCGTCCATTTGACAGAGATTTAGACTGTGAAGAATGAGTCGTCTATTTGACAGAGATTTAGATTGTGAAGAATGAGTCACCTATTTGACAGAGATTAAGACTGTGAAGAATGAGTCATCTATTTGACAGAGATTTAGATTGTGAAGAATGAGTCCTCCTTTTGACAGAGATTTAGATTGTGAAGAATGAGTCCTCCATTTGACAGAGAATAAGACTGGGAAGAATGAGTCGTCTTTTTGAAAGAGATTTAGTCTGTAAAGAATGAGTCGCCTATTTGACAGAGATTTAGAGTGTGAAGAATGAGTCCTCCATTTGACAGAGAATAAGACTGGGAAGAATGAGTCGTCTTTTTGAAAGAGATTTAGACTGTAAAGAATGAGTCGCCTATTTGACAGAGATCTAGACTGTGAAGAATGAGGCGCCTATTTGACAGAGATTTAGACTGTGAGGAATGAGTCGCCTATTTGACAGAGATTTATACTGTGAAGAATGAGTCGCCTATTTGACAGCGATTTAGACGGTGAAGAATGAGTCTCCTATTTGACAGAGATTTAGACTGTGAAGGATGAGTCGCCTATTTGACAGAGATTTAGACGGTGAAGAATGAGTCACCTATGTGACAGAGATTTAGACTGTGAAGAATGAGGCGTCTATTTGACAGAGATTTAGATTGTGAAGAATGAATCCTCCTTTTGACAGAGATTTAGATTGTGAAGAATGAATCCTCCTTTTGACAGAGATTTAGATTGTGAAGAATGAGCCCTCCATTTGACAGAGATTTAGTCTGAAGAATGAGTCCTCCATTTGACAGAGAATAAGACTGTGAAGAATGAGTCGTCTTTTTGAAAGAGATTTAGACTGTAAAGAATGAGTCGCCTATTTGACGGAGATTTAGACTGTGAAGAATGAGTCGTCCATTTGACAGAGGTTTAGACTGTGAAGAATGAGTCGCCTATTGGACAGAGATTTAGACTGTGAAGAATGAGTAGCCTATTTGACAGAGATTTAGACTGTGAAGGATGAGTCGCCTATTTGACAGAGATTTAGACTGTAAAGAATGAGTCACCTATTTGACAGAGATTAAGACTGTGAAGAATGAGTCATCTATTTGACAGAGATTTAGATTGTGAAGAATGAGTCGCCTATTAGACAGAGATTTAGACTGTGAAGAATGAGTCCTCTATTTGACAGAGATTTAGACTGTGAAGAGTGAGTCGCCTATTTGACAGAGATTTAGACTTTGAAGAAGGAGTCGCCTATTTGACAGAGATTTAGACTGAGAAGAATGAGTCGCCTATTTGACAGAGATTTATACTGTGAAGAATGAGTCGCCTATTTGACAGAGATTTATACTGTGAAGAATGAGTCGCCTATTTGACAGGGATTTAGACTGTGAAGAATGAGTCGTCTATTTGACAGATATTTAGACCGTGAAGAATGAGTCGCCTATTTGACAGAGATTTATACTGTGAAGAATGAGTCGCCTATTTGACAGCGATTTAGACGGTGAAGAATGAGTCTCCTATTTGACAGAGATTTAGACTGTGAAGAATGCGTCGCCTATTTGACAGAGATTTAGACTGTGACGAATGAGTCGCCTATTTGACAGAGATTTAGAGTGTGAAGAATGAGTCCTCCATTTGACAGAGATTTGAGTCCTCCATTTGACAGAGATTTAGACTGTGAAGAATGCGTCGCCTATTTGACAGAGATTTAGACTGTAAAGAATGAGTCACCTATTTGACAGAGATTTAGACTGTGAAGAGTGAGTCGCCTATTTGACAGAGATTTAGACGGTGAAGAATGAGTCACCTATGTGACAGAGATTTAGACTGTGAAGAATGAGGCGTCTATTTGACAGAGATTTAGATTGTGAAGAATGAATCCTCCTTTTGACAGAGATTTAGATTGTGAAGAATGAGTCCTCCATTTGACCGAGAATAAGACTGTGAAGAATGAGTCGTCTTTTTGAAAGAGATTTAGTCTGTAAAGAATGAGTCGCCTATTTGACAGAGATTTATACTGTGAAGAATGAGTCGCCTATTTGACAGGGATTTAGACTGTGAAGAATGAGTCGTCTATTTGACAGAGATTTAGACTGTGAAGAATGAGTCGCCTATTTGACAGAGATTTAGACGGTGAAGAATGAGTCACCTATTTGACAGAGATTTAGACTGTGAAGAATGAGTCGTCTATTTGACAGAGACTTAGATTGTGAAGAATGAATCACCTATTTGACAGAGATTTATACTGTGAAGAATGAGTCGTCTATTTGACCGAGATTTAGACTGTGAAGAATGAGTCGCCTATTTGACAGAGATTTAGACTGTGAAGAATGAGTGGCCTATTTGACCGAGATTTAGACTGTGAAGAATGAGTCGTCTATTTGACAGAGATTTAGATTGTGAAGAATGAATCACCTATTTGACAGAGATTTATACTGTGAAGAATGAGTCGTCTATTTGACCGAGATTTAGACTGTGAAGAATGAGTCGCCTATTTGACAGAGATTTAGACTGTGAAGAATGAGTCCTCTATTTGACAGAGATTTAGACTGTGAAGAATGAGTCGCCTATTTGACAGAGATTTAGACTGTGAAGAATGAGTCGTCTATTTGACCGAGATTTAGATTGTGAAGAATGAGTCCTCCGTTTGACAGAGATTTAGACTGTGAAGAATGAGTCGTCTATTTGACATAAATTTAAGCTGATGAGCCACATTCCTCATTAAACACAAAATCAATTCTCAGTAATCCTGAGATACTTCATATCAATTAATTTCCAATACATCAAATTCCTATTAAAGAGTTTGTGGTTTAGAATGTATCCGTATTTTTCCTATTTGACTCTGGCCCTCTGTCCCCAAGGGGGTCACACTCTTAATTTGCTTAAAAATGATTCCTCTCGTCCCAGAAAATCTCCATACTTTAGGTAAAGGCACCACAGAGTATGATTACATCTCCAGGGAGGAAGGATTTGCATAAAATGTTACACCACCTCCGCAGATTCTAAATTCAGTTAAAATCCTATCCAGCTTAACTACAATAATAATGCATGGCGTATCGTAGTAGATACAGATATGAATTGAATTGCACCGAGAAAAAGAATCTTACCTGTATTCTATTCAATACTTTTTTTGTTTTATTAATGCCATGCTGCCATAAATTGCTCCCTTTTAATTCATATTTTAATATCAAAATTTTCCTTGCTATGTGATATTTAAAGAAAAGTTGTACCATTAATTCTATTATAGCTTACAATTTTCTGTTATATTATATAACCTTTGGAAGAAATAAGTAATTTTAAATAACAGTAAGCAATGTCTTTTTAAAAAATTAACCAACATTTGAATTGCCAGACTAAAACCCACATATTCCATTTCCTGCTTCCGTTTTACAATAGCTCAATCTGGCTGGTAACAATAGCAGAGAAAATAGATTTGGTCTGTCTATTGTAAAAGAGGCCTTTCTAGGTATGTAAAGATTGTAATTGGTACAACTAACAATTGGTTGGGTTTATAAATAATTCAACTGACATCTTGTTTGGACCTGAAGTTTCTGAGATAACATAGAGGGGTGGGTGTTGATGTTTTAAAACATTACCTTTAGGATCGTAAACATATACAGTGTGCAGGTTCATAACACACAACCAGTAAAATGTTTATCTGTGACGTTTCAATGGCTAGTGCGATTTGAACTCTGCCATCTACATCAGACAAATGACCAGTAAAGCTGGTCATAGATGTGTGAGAGACTATGGGCCCCATCGTCTCGATTCATTCCAGTTACTTCCCTTTATCTGCCACCTGAACAGGTTGATTGCTTTGTCAACCACTTTTATGTGTCTGGTTGTGTGTGTGTCGGGGAGATGGGACGAGCTGTTGCATGAGCACAGCCAAAAAAATAAATAAATTGATCTGTTGATATAAGGCTATTGATGGTCAATGGTAAAATTCATAAGTAAAATGAAAATCAAATTATCTTTTCATGAGGACTACTGCAGGGTTGAAGCATTGACATCAGAAGTGATTGTCTGTAGCAGGGTGTATGTCAGATCAAGTATTTGTCAATTTTTATCTAACAGAATACAGGGAGTCTTCCGCTGAAAACAGGGTACATGATACCTGTTTAACACTCAACTAAGACTTCATAGAGCTGATCTTGGGATACAAAATCAATACCTGTATTTGGTCGTGATATCTGTTAGAAACTTACTGTAGTCCTCGTCTGTGAGAAAGCCGATGTCATCCAGGCTGAGGTTCTGGTGGTTCTGATCCTGCACCATAGTGGACATGTCCATGCCTGGGGCCATGTTGTAAGGCGGAATGGTGTGCATCCCCATTGGCTGTGCTGTAAAACATCACCAATACTGAAAATAGTTCTGGCAATATGATGGGCCCCTTCCACATCTTCTTGAAATACAATAACAAAACTTAAAGGAACATTTGTATCAATTCAGATAAAACTGACCTGGAAAATAACTTATACTCAAATGTTTCCTTCTTATCAATGTTCCAAAATCAAAAAATTTCTCTGTGTCTGTTGACTTTAAGATGTGAACTATCTGTACATTTTTCATGGAATAAGAACATTGCAGTTTTATCATCGTTGGTATATATTGTTAAAGTGTAAATTTTCAGGGTGTGGAAATTTTCACATTTTTCGCATTATGCAAATTAGCGTAAAAGCATCCACACAGGAATATTCATCAATGGATTATTGAGATATCAGATAAGTAGAATATATTTATTAATGGATTATTGAGATATCAGATAAGTAGAATATATTTATTAAAGGATAATTGAGATATCAGATAAGAAGAATATATTTATTAATGGATTATTGAGATAACAGATAAGTAGAATATATTTATTGATGGATTATTGAGATAACAGATAAGTAGAATATATTTATCAATGGATTATTGAGATATCAGATAAGTAGAAATGATTTATCAATGGATTATTGAGATAACAGATAAGTAGAATATATTTATTAATGGATTATTGAGATAACAGATAAGTAGAATATATTTATTAATGGATTATTGAGATAACAGATAAGTAAAATATATTTATTAATGGATTATTGAGATATCAGATAAGTAGAATATATTTATCAATGGATTATTGAGATATCAGATAAGTAGAATATATTTATCAATGGATTATTGAGATAACAGATAAGTAGAATATATTTATTAATGGATTATTGAGATATCAGATAAGTAGAATATATTTATTAATGGATTATTGAGATAACAGATAAGTAGAATATATTTATTAATGGATTATTGAGATATCAGATAAGTAGAATATATTTATTAATGGATTATTGAGATAACAGATAAGTAGAATATATTTATAAATGGATTATTGAGATAACAGATAAGTAGAATATATTTATTAATGGATTATTGAGATATCAGATATATAAAATATATTTATTAATGGATTATTGAGATATCAGATAAGTAGAATATATTTATTAATGGATTATTGAGATAACAGATAAGTAGAATATATTTATTAATTGATTATTGAGATAACAGATAAGTAGAATATATTTATTAATGGATTATTGAGATAACTGATAAGTAGAATATATTCATTTCAGAACCATTGACAATGTGACATTTTCCACACCACGAACAATTTGAGGAGTCACAATTTTTTCCCAATTTTTTTCCGCTTAAACGGTATAATGTTCCAAGAGTTGCATAACACTGCCAGATTGTCTCTGATCCCACACTAACAGTGTGATCATGTGACATCAATAAAACTGTCGTCAGTGACCTTAGCTGTTATGACGGCGTTAACCCCATACAAACAAACTTCAATTAAATATGGTAATGATTAACAGGTAGTTAAATATGGCCAAATATTTACAAATTTCTTCCAATAAATCTCCTTAATTTCTCAGAAAAAGAACAAACCCTAATCAATCAATTTATAATTGATATCCTTTATATCAATACATGTGGCACTGCCAGCCGTCATTGATAACACTTTGATGTCCTACAAACAGTCTGCCATCATTTGTTCTGCTGTATTGAACAATCATTCACACTCTGATTCACACATAAAATGTTTATTGATCTCAATCACATTAACTCCAACCATAAAATGTCTGATAATCGACCAGCTCACTCAGGTGTGGAAACACTTAAAGGACCTAAAGCTCCCC